ATCTAACCACATAATTAGATTAAGTAACTACTGAAAGTATGTGAACAGTGGTGTGCTATTTTTGTCACTTTATTAGCACAGAGTTGGAGGGTACTGCATGTTGAAACTGGACTAAGACAAAGGTTAACGTTAGCATGCTAACAAGCTTACAAAAGATTCATTTCAGAGTAGCATTTTTGGCTTGTAGTAGTGCGTAATGTAGGTATAATTAATAATATTGTGGTTTTGAGGGTGTTAAAAAGTACAATGGTAAAAAGCGCCATCAGGTTTCAGGCCCCTTTTCTGTGGAACCAGATCTCAGTTTGGATTCAGGAGACAGACAGCCCTCTCTACTTTTAAGATTAAACCTTTCCTTTTTGATAAAGCTTATAGTTAGGCCTAGATCAGGTGACCCTGAATCCTTTCTTAGTTACGCTGGAATAGGTCTAGGCTGCTGGGGGCTTCTCATTATGAACTGAATGTTTCTTCTTCACTTACCTCTTTTCTCTTACTATGTATTTATACACCACTTATAATTAATCTCTGGCTCCTTTCCACAGCATGTCTTTGTCATTTGCTCCTCACATACCCCACAACTCGTTGCAGTAGATGGCCGCCCCTCCCTGAGCCCGGTTCTGCTGGAGGTTTCTTCCTGTTAAAAGGGAGTTTTTCCTTCCCACTGTCACCAAACTGCTTGCTCATCGGGGCTCATATGATTGTTGGGGTTTTCTCTGTACTATTGTAGGGTCTTTACCTTATAATATAAAGTGCCTTGAGGCGATTGTTTTTGTGATTTGGTGGTATATAAATAATAATAAAATGAATTGAATATTAATGTAGACTCTATTTAATTTTGGTGACCAGTACTTGGCTTGTACAAACCAAAGGCTTTAAAAATCCCAGACAAGCCACCGTCTATCAAAATGTGGTTACTTTATGTACTACTTAAAGGCTTCTGTAAGAAGAAAAAGAAAGAAAACCAGTGCACACATGAGCGACCTTACACAAATTAGCTGTGTTAGCAACGCTCCCATGTCAGCTAGAGTAGGTCAGAATCACTTGCATGGCAATGAGAGGGTCACCGCATTGCTTACTATTTAATATTAAGAAAGTGAGGCAAATATGACATTCCTCACAGACATGTATTATATTTGCGATTAATGGAATAAAATACTGGAAATTCTTCAAACCCTCCCCAAAGTATCCTGACAAAAGTCTTTAGCTCTACTGGAACAAAACTGTTTTCTCTGCTCACTGACCTCAGCTGACACAGAAGTGAAGGAAAGAAAACAAGACCGTCTCCTCGGTGACTAAGCTCCCTGTTATGAAGTCTCAAACTGGTAAACTGCAATTGTATCCAGGAACTGTTGCCGAGCGACATGAACGACTTTAATCAACCCCTTTTGTACACAGAGTGCAAATCAACACAAGAATGCCTTGATGTGAAGTACACACGAACAACATCGCCTTCATGTTTGCTAAATCACTTACAAACCTTCACTATTTGGTTTGTTGTATCTGCTTTGTGGTAGTAGAGGAATCCATTGTAGACCACATGACCCGATCCTTGCCAGTGGAAAGGCAGCTGCACCACCTTTGCTGGAGATGAAGTCCTCTCTGTGAAGCTTTGCAGGGAAACGTACTCCAGCATGGTGTTGTTACGAATTCCGCTGAGCAGATAAATCTGAAAGATTTCACATTGGGACAAGCTGAGATTTTGCAGCTCAGCTTTATATTCTATTCTTTAAGATAAACTGTATAAAAAGGCTGTTTTAAAAAGCTTTTAGCATTTTGGTTGGCATCATCTCAAGTGTTTTGAGCCGGAAAAACTACTTTTGCACATAGTGGTGGTTAGTAATGTACATCTGTAGGGTGCATGTGTGAACAGCCGCAGACACTGTTTTATTCTAACTAACATTTAAAAAAAATCATAGAATTTTACTCACTTATAAAGCTTGGAAAGACTTCTTGGAGTCTGTTAACACACGTGATCATGCAGCTGTAAACATGTTCATTTAAAGCACTAAATTTTGCCACTTTAACACAGCAGTCCACGGGAATTGTCTCACTTTTGGAACAAGCCTCAAGTGGCCAAACAAGAAACTGCAGTCTGGCCTCAGCTTTTAAGTTCAGCTCCAGAATATTGGGCAGGTGGTTTTATTCTGTTGGCCAGTCTTATATAGCTACAATACACCCAGCCATTTACATCTGGGTGGAATTATTAATTATTAGGAGCTCCATAGTTTACACATTTGCCTAACAAGCCAAA